CACTACCATGTCTGCCCCGGGCTAAGCACAGCCGTTGCAGATCTTCTGGGGCCACTGGAGTTTCAAAGCTGAGAATGATGGGCTGAGATTTGGAGCTGAGATTTGAAAGCTCCTCTTTATGTTTAACCCCTCCCCTTGGGGGCTGGGACTCATAGCTATGGTTCCACTATCCCATAGGGATTTATTGAAACAATGAACTCTTCCTAAAAACCAGTCATGAGTCAGTGGGAAAGGGCCAGGCAAGGGATGAAACCAGAGATTCCCATCATGGAGTGTTCAAAATCATTCCTTCCTTCAAGAACTTGGGTTTTGTAACTTGGATAAGCTCCACGGTCAGCTCTGTTTCATAAGAATCCTTGGTTCCTCAGGTGGATAGCCTCCTGCTCCTCATGTACAACTCAGACTTTCCCAGACAAGTATGAACTTTCAGCTGTACCCAATTTAGATTTAACTCCAGTATCTCAATCTCTAAACCTCTCTGGATAAACATGATAGAGTGCACAGTTGGTATTAATTCTGACTCCACCGTATTAAGACTACATATCTCACTCTTTGTCATTTAACTCGCAGGGCCCGCCTCCTGGGGGAGGAGCTTATGTCTCTATCTCTCCTGCTGTTCAGGTTGGCCATGTGATTTGCTTTGGCCAACAGAATGATAGCAGCCATGGCCAAGCAGATGCCTCAAATGTGCCTGGATGGTTGGCTTGCCCTCTGGTGCTCTTTCCATTCTTCATGATGAAGAATTTGGTGTATAGACCTGCTGATCTAAGGAAAATAAAGCTCTGTGGAGCAGACCTGAACCCTGAGACCTCAGCCTACTTCCTGCAGTCCAGTTTTAGCCCAGTTGAGATCAGCTGTACCCCAGGCAACTGAAAGGTCATGAGAGAGAAAAATAAATGCTTATTATGGTTTAGGGGGGGAAAGTTAAGTAATCATGAATAACATTTCTCAAAATTAATAGAGGAGATATCTCAAGGCAGCATGTGATTAACTGTCAGATACATGGAAAAATCAATAACAGATTTATTCAGAGAAGGATGAGAGCACATCAGCCTAGATTATTCTATCAGACTTTTTTCCTTCATATTTCTCATAAATTCACATGTAACAAAAAATCTGGTCAGAGACTCAGAACGCACATTTTGAGGAGAAAGACATAAAATATTCCTTTCGGTTTCTAGACTAAAACTTTTGAGTCCGCGGTTGTTCTTACCATGATTGTGGCTGTGGCAGTCGCATATTCTCCACCTCCCCAACACTCTCCAATGTTGGGACATCGAGCTTCCTCACACACCTGGGAATAATAAGGAATGGAATACAATCAAGTTGGAAATATTAACCAACTAAGCAAATTAGTGATCAGGCATTTTAAACTGTCCATTCTTTACAATGTATTTATGAAGAAATTCACTATTCAAAAATGTTATTAAACTGCCAAACTGTATATATATTAGGATCCCATTTTTAAATCAAAAACAACATGAATGTGGGGCACCTGGGTGGCTCAGTGGGTTGGGCCTCTGCCTTTGGGTGGCGTCATGGGATCGAGTCCCATATCGGGCTCCCTGCTTGGTGGGGGGCCTGCTTCTCCCTCTCTCACTCCCCCTGCTTGTATTCCCTCTCTCGCTGTGTCTCTGTCAAATAAATAAATAAAACTTAAAACAAACAAACAAACATGAATGTATATATTTCACAAGTGCAAAGAAGGTCTGGATGGAAATATGCTAAAAAATCAAAGTGGTGTAGTTAACATTTGGGATGGCATACATGATGGCATACATGATGCTTCACATTTAACATTATATTTTTTCCAGTAAGTGCGTATTTAATTTGTAATATAAAATATACACAAACCCCCCTCATTTCCTAAATTGCGGGGAAAGAATCTTTTTTTTTGTATTATTAAATCTGAAATTAAGAAATACAATTAATTTTTGTTTCTTTTTGCAAGGAAAATGACTTTAAAAAAATTTTTTTAAGATTTTATTTATTTGTCAGAGAGAGAGGGACAGAGAAAGAGCATGCACAGAAGCAGGGGGAGCAGCAGGCAGAGGGATAAGCAGGCTCCCTGCTGAGCAAGGCTGATGCCAATGCTGGACTCCATCCCAGGACCCTGGAATCATGACGTGGGCTGAAGGCAGACACTTAACCAACTGAGCCACCCAGGCGTCCTTAAACATTTTTTTAAATTTTATTTTAAAGTAATCTCTACACCCAACATGGGGTTTGAACTCACAACTTCAAGATCAAAAGTTGCATGCTCTACTGACTGAGACAGCCAGGTGCCCTAGGGGAAAATCATTTTTAAATATATTTCCATTCCTGATAATAATGCATCCCTAAATATCTTTATTCACTTTCCTTGCTGTTTTTGATATGCACTTTATTAAAGTTTAAGGAACACATATGCAGAAACACTATGACTTTCAGTTAAGACGGACATTTAACACTCTGAAACTTACTGTATGGAGATTCAAATTCCGCAATGTATTTTTCAGTTTATTGTAATTTTTCCCCATGGGAATCTCTGTCTTTAGCCACGGAGGTAGTCTTAACCTGAGGAAGGCCAAATGTAACTATCCATTAACAAATATGTTCCCAAATCACGCAACTTTGCTCTATAACAATTCTTACTGCAGAGTTGGATTTTTTTGCCCCATAATCCTGGACTAACGCTTCTAATTTCTGCCAGAAGAGTAAGAACAGAGAATCACATTTAGACTCGTTCAAACCACTTCAGAACACACTCATAATTGTGTCTAACAGAGCAATATGCTCATGTCTACCTTCTGCAAAGTCACAGAGTAAAACCATCCTAATGAAAGAATGAGGAAGCTTCTGAACATCACATTCCCCAGTGAATAATATTGACAAAAAGTTCTATATTTGGTCAGAGAAAGGAGAGATCCCCCAAGTGTACTTTCTGCTCTGCATTCCAGATTTATGATGGTTATTAATGAAAAAAAAAATCTAAAATTTGGAGAGAAGAATAGGTTTCCTCAGGTTCCCCTTGACTTATATCCACTCGTGGACTAGAAGTTGTTGGGTAAGGGTCTCTCCCAAAACAATCTGCCCTCTGTGTGAAATTCCCTCACCATTCTTTTGAATTAAGACAAGGTATCCATAGGACATATGTACATAGAAGCAACAAGTTAGATCATCAATACGCAGTAACAATGAAAATTTCATCAAGATCTAATTGACTAGTAGCAAGGTGATAATGTTTGCTCTATGCAGAAATTTTATGCTGAATGCACAATAGGATGGCTAAGTCCTAGGAAGATTGAAGAACAACTATCAAAAAGCACAGAGAAGAGGATTCCAACAATTTTAGCTATTTACCTGTTCTATGTCTGTATCACTTCTAATGATTTTTAGCTAAATTTGCCAAGACTGATTTAAATTATAAGCTAGGGCTTGGTTATATGTGAATATAATGCACAATGAAGGAATTTATCTAAAAATTTCAATTACCTTTCTCCCTTCTGGCGTTTTAAGTCTCCTTTATATTCATCCCACTTGCTCTTGTCCACAAGATCACCAGATAAAAAATCTTGAAGGTCTGGTCCATTTTGTAAGAATTCCTTTTTTTTATCTGGCAAGGAACTTACTGCTCTGACTGGACTGCATAAGTATCTTCCAAATATCTAAAGAGAGTTCATTAGGACGTGTTTTTAGTGAAATTTGAAGTAACTTAGTTTGAACCTACTTTAATACCTAAAAGAGAGGGTAAAACCAGAGAAATGATACAGAAATTATGTCGAACAATTTAAAAGCTTTGTGTAGGAGCTCAGAATCTAGGATTTAAGTCTTAAGAGCAAAGGAAACCTAAAAGAGAATGGGAGCTAACAGTATACTGCTAGAGATACAACAGATTTGGAAACCTTTGGACCCGGCTAACATGTCACACTTTCATGTAACCCACTTAACTACTAAAAGTCTGTCTTTCATAAAGTTTAAACTGCAATAACTGGAGATGCCACAGCTCTGAATTTTCCACTCTTGAGTCGAGTCAAGGACGTATGAAAGGAAATTTGCATTAAGTCTCTCCTATCTGGGCTTTGGATAGGCATAGTGTTAAAATGTAGAGGTAACGCTCAGTTGGTTTTAAAGAACTGGAAGGAGGGAAACCAAACCTAATGTTTTAATTTTTTAGATTACATTCTATGTTTGAACACGGTAGTCCATTTGTTGACCATAAGAAAACACTGGCTTCTAGATCTGAACACGAACGTGTACAAGATAGCCAAAACACTAAAATTCACGAGTCAGTACATGCAACGGAAGAGAACCTTCAACAATTAAAAAAGAATGCCTGTTGGGGTGCTGAGGTATTGCTACTGCATTGGATCACTCTGCCTCTAAAGGCAGAACACAGGCTTTTGTTCTCACTGCCCAGACCGGTGTCTAGTACAAAGACAGACCCGAACACAAAGTAGGAATTTGGCGTGCTCAACGCCGTGCTCCTATAATGCTCCAACGAATAATACAGGGCTCAGATCACTCTGATACGCGGGGCGGGTTGGCCTGGGGGGGGGGGGTGATCATCGCCTGCCAGAGAGACCTACAAACCAATACCAGAGACTCTACACGATCATGTCGGGAGAATTAAATGAGATACTACATGAAAAATTTTAGAACAGCATCTAGCTCAAGTAAACGCTAATAACTGCTGGCCTTATTATTGGACGCTCTAAAGAGATGGGAGCCCCTCCACCCCGGGCCCGCACCCTGCTCGCCCCGCCGCTCACCCGGGGCCCCACGGAGCAGGCGGCGCCCCCGCAGCGTAGAGACATCCCTCTCTTTTTTTTTCCTAGGAGGGTCGAGGGATCACTAATTCCTGGGAAAGACAGACCAACACACCGTCGCTCGGTTTATGACGAAGAACCTGAGCCACCACAGACCCAGCGGGATTTGAGCTGCTCCGCGATTGGCTGCTTTAGCCTGGTAGGGTCGCGCGCTCATGACGTCATACGCAGGGCCCATACAGGTTACAAGAACGTGATGACGAAAAACGCTTTCTCTTTGCCGCATCTACTGCGAGGTGAGGTTGTCTCGGAACTTTGTGAGTTTTGGGAATCTGAAGGCATCGGCTCGGGGAAAGCCCGGGGCGCGGGTCTGGCGCTCGGATCCTCTGTGTGGGTCGTTTCCCGGCGCGGCGAGTGCCATATGGATCTGGCGGCCTTGGGATTCGAGAACTGTATTGGGCTTGTGGGCCTGCCCCCACCCCTCAGCCTTGCCGGGCTGGCGCCGCCGTAATGAGACTGCTAGGGGTGCGCCGAACGGGAGTTCGCCCGCTGTGCTCATAGTCCCTGCCCAGCAGCCTCCTTTTCCTGGCCAGGACTCGGCGGGGGTCGTTCTCCGGGTGGGGTCGTCCTGTGTCCGCCCCGGGGGTTGTGCTTGCGGGTCTCCGCGGGGAGCGGAGCTCCGTGCGGGGTGGTGTGGCCGCAGACAGGCCCCGCGCCGGCCTCGTAACCCCAGGGGTTTGTGTTTCAGGATGAAGACCATTCTCAGCAATCAGACGGTCGACATCCCGGAGAATGGTATGAGACCTGATGTTTGTGCTCCTCTTAGTCTTTACTGCCTGCTTTGTACCTGGTTCCGAGGCCTCACAGATGCTCTCTTTCAGTCGACATCACCCTGAAGGGACGCACGGTGATCGTGAAGGGCCCCCGAGGAACCCTGCGAAGGGACTTCAATCACATCAACGTAGAACTCAGTCTTCTCGGAAAGAAAAAGAAGAGGGTGAGATGCGGCTCGTGTCGTGTTTTGTTTCCTCTTCCGACCCATCCGTGGCTGCTGTGGAAGGGAGTGATGTAGTAACAGCGGATTTGGTGGCTGTCGGGATTACCGAATCGAGATTCCTTGTTTAGCTTGAAATCGGGTGTGGGTTGGTGTGGCTAGTGTTGGCGGGACTGCTTCAGTGAGGTCGGGAGAGCGAGTTCTGGTTCTAAAGCTCAGTGTTAGTACCGCAGTCGTCGTTAGCATCAGGTTCTTAATACTGTCACCAGTGGGTCCTCGTGCTGGTTCCGTAGGAATCTTAGGGACCAGGCAGGTCTCGGAAGCCTGATACTTTAGTTTTCTAGGAGCGAAGTAGGATGCAACTTGAAAAATGAGTATTTCTGGGTTGGCATTCCCTTGTGAAATGTGTTTCGGGACGTCTAGTAGCCAAAAAGCTAGTAACGGAGGGCTTCAGACGTCATAGCTTTAATGAGGGCTAAAGCTCGAATCCAGACTAATTCTCTGAGTAAGTGGGTTTTTCTGTCAAGCATCCGTATTATGGGAACGAATCATACCAAGTGTTTGTTCTGTTACAGCTCCGAGTTGACAAATGGTGGGGGAACAGAAAAGAGCTGGCTACGGTTCGCACCATCTGCAGTCACGTGCAGAACATGATCAAGGGCGTTACACTGGTAAGCAGACGTCAGACTGCCTCCTTTCCGGAGGGGAGGCTTCTCCGCTGTCACGCGTGCATGCAGCCTGAGTGTCTGCTGCGGAACATAGACTCTGCCTGCAGTTTACGGCGGTATTTGGGGAAAGGTGATCTTGGCAGTGTAGAATCGGCATCTGTGTGTCTTGAGGATTAAGTGATAAATGTGACTGAACACCAGATGGTGTTGATAGTAGGCTAATGGCGGTTTTTTTGGTAGGATGTGTGGTGGTGGTTTTGTTTTTGTTTTGTAGCACATAGGATAGATAGGCTTTGATTTCTTGTTGGCATGCCGGTCTCCACAGGCGCCTCTCGAAGGGGCAGAAGAAGCTGGATCTCCTTTCAGCAGTCCCTGTCTACTTGACTAAAAGTGTATTTGTTGTCATTATTCTCTTTACAACTCCCTCTCCCCCAAGCCTTTAAGATAAAGTTCATTTTGCTGTCTTTGCTGAAATGTTTTTCTTCACATTAAAACTCAGTCCTTTCAGAATGTGCCTCATAATGGCACCCTTCAGCTCCATTATAAGCCAATTGGGTCATGTTTCCACTATTCACTCTTGCTACCAGGCTAAGTTCCTCGAGGGCAGAGGGCCTGTCTGAGTTGTCATCTGGTATACTGGTATTCCTTAGTAACTCAGTAAATGTTAGTCTAGTGCCCAAGATAAAGGGCTTTGGGGTTCTCTCTCTCTCTCTTTTTTTTTTTTTTTTTTAAGATTTTATGTATTTATTTGACAGAGATCACAAGCAGGCAGAGAGGCAGGCAGAGGGGTGGGGGAAGCAGACTCCTTGCTGAGCAGAGAGCCCGATGCGGAGCTGGATCCCAGGACCCTGAGATCATGACCTGAGCCAAAGACAGAGGCTTTAACCCACTGAGCCACCCAGGCGCCCCTGGGGTTCTCATTTTTAAAAGCTTTGTTTACTGTGGTCATAGGAGGTAGTAAAATAAATGCTTCCTTAAAGAACTTTAGAGTCTATTGAAGAAAGTCAGAAGCATGTATACAATTTGGAAGATTTGGTACAGGTGACCACTGTTACAAAATCTTGACAATGAGTGCTATGTGAGGACTGTTTCATTTTTAAACTACAAATAATGTAAGCACCCTACAAAATTTAAAAACTGGATTTGTCTTTCAAATTGTCAGCTTTGCTAATAGTTTGTTTTCTTAATAGGGCTTCCGATACAAGATGAGGTCTGTGTATGCTCACTTCCCCATCAACGTTGTTATTCAGGAGAATGGTTCTCTTGTTGAAATCCGAAATTTCTTGGGTGAAAAATATATCCGCAGGGTTCGGATGAGGCCAGGTATGTACCTACGTTCAGATATGGTTCTGAAATGTTTACCTGTGAAGACTGCTGTTTGGGGCTGGCTATAAATCCATATTTATTTCAGAATTGTCCATTTTGATTATGTATGTAATAACTCTTGGTGTTAAGGTTTTGTATTGTATTCATACTGATTGTGATTCTTAAAGGCTTATACGTTAGTTTCAGGGGGTGTTAGCTATGTTTAATTCTCTTTGCAAACTGAAATCCTAAAAAAAAAAAAACTTGAATAGTGGTTAATAGCATAGACTGCCTAGGTTCAAATCTCAGTTCTATCAGCTTTGGGCAAATCATCTACTTCTAGCTCATTTTACTCATCCAAAATTGGGAACATCTCCTGTCTAGATGAATTAAAATTAAAATATACTTGGAACATTCTTGCTTGATACATAATAAACACAGAAGCATTAAAAATATTTTAAATTTAGACATTAGAAAATTGTACGTGCGTATTTTTTAAAAATATATTTTTAAGTAATCTCCACAGAACCCCAAGATCAAGAAATGTATGCTCCACTGGCTAAGCCAGCCAGGTGCCCCAACATTAGAAAATTTTAAAGCTTAGTGCTCTCTTGATGCTTCTTGATTCCATTGGGGTAGGAAGAAGGAATTCTTAGTACCATTTAATGAGTTTACAAAAATACTTTGTGGTATTAGCTTTGGTCAACAGCATTTAATGGGAACCTTTATATTAAAAAAAAAAAAACTCAAGAGGTACCAAATCTATACAGTAGGAATAAGACTTGATGACAAAGCTGTGGACAGTTAAATTGAATACTGTCTTCTCACACTCCTTGACTGAATCCCTGAAAGCCTAACTACTCTGGAAAAGATTCATTCAAGCAGGAACACAAACAAGATTTTGCCCAGATTAAGTCAGGTCCTATAAAAGCAGAATCTCAACAAGTGTCATTTGTTGTGTAAAATTATAAATGGACTAAGTTGCTACTTTAAATGTTTTTAAATTAAGTATTGTACAGATTTGATTTTATGTTTACCCTTGTGTGAATGCTTTCTCCCCTTTTTAGGTGTTGCTTGTTCTGTATCTCAAGCCCAAAAAGATGAGTTAATTCTTGAAGGAAATGACATTGAACTTGTATCAAACTCAGGTTTGTTTGTTTAGTATGCCTAATTATGCCTATAGAATTTTGTTTAAGTCTTGTAGTTGAATACATGGTATTCTGCTCATTGGGTGAGCTTTTTCATTTGTGAAATTGAGTAAAAAGTACCCCAAAGATAATAGGTTTTAAGTATGGCATATAATAAAATGCTTTTATTTTAAGATGAATTTGGCTGGTAATGTAATTTCCTTATCTTTTTTACTGTTAATAGCTGCTTTGATTCAGCAAGCCACAACTGTTAAAAACAAGGATATCAGAAAATTTTTGGATGGTATCTATGTTTCTGAAAAAGGAACAGTTCAGCAGGCTGATGAATAAGATCTGAGGTAGGTTCTTGCAGTGTCTGTAAGTTTCCTTACTGATTTTTAGAGGTCGTAATTTACTAAGAGTCTGAAACTGGAGTTGTAATGGCAGAAGGTGAGTTACATTCTGGAATACAGTAGATGGCAGAATAAGAAAAGTGACATTTTTACTAGTGATCTAAATGATGTTTTAGGTTATTGAGAGTAGAACTTAGTTTTGGAGGGTATTGATGGAAATTGATAGATCTTTTTATTCCTTCTTACAGTTGTCCATCTGCAGAAACAGCGAGAAGCCGGATGATTTTTCAGACTTATTTGTGATATTTTAAAGATGCAATAAAAGCTATACTGATTTGTGGCTTTTTCTTTTTCTTTCCTTTTTTTTTTTTTTTTTAAGATTTTAATTATTTGAGGGACACCGTGCAAGAGAGCGTGAGTGGACGGGGGAGGGACAGGAGAGGGAGCAGTAGGCTGGGCCACCTAGGCGTCTCTGGGACTTTTTCTTAAACCAATAAGCCTTCCCAACTATTTGGCAGGTAAATCATTCAGAAGTAAATTGTAGTGTGCTGAGAATAGTAACAAGGAATAAAATGGGAGTTTTTTCTAGTAAAACTTTGTGGGAGAATTGGCTTTTAGTTTTTTGAAGGAATATCAAGGGCATTTCAGGCAAGAGGAATATAGTACCAGTGACAGGCAACAGCATGTGACTTCATCATTGGATGTAGAACTTGTGGGGGAGTTCCTGAAGGTATCTAATTTTGCAGAGGCATAAATTTTGAATATTTGTGAGGTAAGTGTGCTTGAGCCACTTGCCCGTATACCCTTAACTTGTGGGTAAAGTGGGGGGGGGGAACAAAGTGATAGGGTTAATTTGTGTGTGATAAATATGTCTAAGATGCTCTCAGTCTTCACACTCTACCCAACCTCAGCCATTACTCCCACATGCTAGTCATAGATATATTTAGAAACATAACCCTTCCAAAATCTTAATTCTATGTGTCACACTTGAAATGTGTTACCATACTGGTTGCCCTCACCTTCTCCAGTTTTCCTATCTCATTTGATGAAAACTCCAGCCTTCTGATTTCTCAGGCAAAACACTAAACTTTGATTTCTCTTAAACACTATACATGAAATCCATTGGAGAAGTGTAGGCTCTGCCTTCAAAGTAAGGTATGTTTTAAGGATTTATATTAAGAAGAAGAGGGGGGCTACCTGGGGGGGCTCAGTCAATTAGGCATCTGCCTTAGGGCTCAGGTCATAATCTCAGGGTCTGGGATTGAGCCCCATATTGGACTCCCTGCTCAGCGGGGAGCTTCTCTCTGCCTGTTTCCTACTTGTGCCCTCTCGCTTTATTGATCTTGAAGAAAAAAAGAAGCAACTGTTGGGAACATAATGGATCTTACTGCGATCTTGATTTTAAATGAGCCAACTAGATATTTTAAGGAGTTAATCTTTGGTAAGTTTTTAAGAAATAGAAGTGAAATAACTATAGTGTGCTTTGAAATATTTGAAGTGGGGTTAGGGAAGGCACTGGTGGGGCTCTAAGTGCTATTTATTACCTATAAATTGATAACTTGTTGAAACTATGAGGATTCACTGTGCCTACTTTTAAGTTTTGAAATTTTTCATAACATAGAAAATAAACTACATTTTGGCTTGGGTTAGTATAATAGCTCTTTAACTGGTCGGCTTTGTTGTCATCTGTTTTCAGCAGTAACCAGAGTGCTTTTCTCAAACTCCACTCCCTCTTAACCTGATAGACTGGCTGATGACCTTGCTTTTCTCAGTACCACTGCCTTAAAACCTTTAGTTCTTTCCCTCTGGAGTGGCAACTTAACCTTGAGGTCTGTTAAACATTTTCGGTGAAGCCTGCCTTGATCTGCCTATCCATTGTGTTCACCCCTCACTGCTGTCCTACCATATACACCCTTAACCTCTGCTTCACTTGTTTTTGTCCATAGCATTTAGAATGTAATATCCTTCACTTTGTTGTGTATTGATTGTGTGCTTTTTTTCTTGTTAGAATGTAAACTGTGAGGATGGATCTTTTCTCACTAGGATATTCCAAGTACCTGGAACAGTAATGGTCTGGTATATAGCTATTTGCTGAGTGAATGGTACTTAGAGTGCCAGGGAGATTAAAGTATAAAAACTGTAATACCAGTGGGGCTGGAAAGTGTTTTGGAAGGCATTGAGGATTTCAAAACTGATTTTGAGGGTTGAGGAAGTTTCCAAATGTTAGTATTACAGAGGGTGTTAAAATTGAGAATGTCAGTGTGTGGGCCGTGGTAGCAGCTGTGGGAGTAAGTGTAATTTCTCACAGCAAAGTGGATTGACATGATGGCTAAGACTTCACGGGGTAACTATTGGAAACTGGTTGTAGCTAAGGGGTGCTTTTCACTTAAATTGGATGTGGTAAGGAAAAATCTAGTTTCCCCTGGGAAGAATTCCATGTCTTCTGTGTCTACAGTGGATAATAAGCACTTGTGTGTTATTTTCTCAACTCGGAGGTTTAGATACCCACATTTTATAGTGAGAAAACATACTCCAAAGAAAGTTATCCAGGATGCACAGTTTGGGAAGATGGACAGAAGCAGTATTGGGCAGAATCCAATTATACACCAGACCCATTCATATTTTATGATTCTTAAAATTGACCAGATTGTTAGTATAAATGATCAGCATAAACCAGTTTATTTGGAATAAATTACATTGAGAATTCAATAATTAGTCGAAATGTACTGACCACCTAATTTTACAGAGGATCTTTAAACACCATGGCTGTATTGTAATATTTTCCATATGTACCAGACTTGTTTGTGAAAGACAGGGTTGTTACATTGAATATACAAACTAATACCACACACAAAATAGAATACACGTTAATTAGATTTTAAGTGGACTCCCCACCCCACCCCCAGCAAGTCCCAGTCCTAAATTCTGAAAATACCCAGTCAAAAGCTTATCAGTTTAAAATGACAATTTTTAAATGAGTTTGGGATAAACCTGAATATTAAGTATAATCAATCATGACTTAGATTAAATATTTACCTAAGGATTCTCGTATGATGAGTTCCCAGGTGCTAACAACTGTAAGCATTGGTTTGCATTGGTTTGCGACTTGACGGGGAGTTTATGGCAAGGTAACATTTGAAAAAGGACACAAGTTTTAACTTCAGCTCTAAATGTCAAGACAGAGTATTGAAGGTTAATGGCAAACTGAATACAAGATACTTTTAAATCAGAGCACAAAGTATTGAGACACGAGAAAAGCAAAACCTTAATTCTAAATCTTTGTTATTCCTATGACTGAATATGCATCCCTTTTTCAAGATGTAGGCTATTAAAAAGAAGTTAAAAAGTTGGCAATAAGTTGTTCAACTAATAATTCCTATGAGAATATTCACTAAAACTTTGGAATCTGAATCCATGTGGCACAAAGGGAAAAGAACAACCAGCCAAGTGGTGTTTTAAATGACGGTCTTTCCACATAGTTAACATTAAAACAACCAGTTGTAATTGTGGATAGCTTTAGGCCAACTATGGGAGTTTTCAAAGAGGAAATAACAAAAATTACTTGAAAGCATAAAAAGCTTAAAAACCGCCAAAGCTGGGAGAGTGGATACAGTGGAGAAGGAGAATAGGAAACCACAATTACTGTTTGAATTTGACCAGCCAAAAAGCAAACCGATTTTCCATCATTTTTGCATTTACTTGACCAGTTGTGTTACCTCATTACAGTATCTTTGAAACTTCCTTCTATTCATTATCAATTTGAATCTCTCATTACCTATGAAATTTGGCTTCTGACATAGGTAGACCTGAATAGCAATCACAATTGCCTTAATTTAGGATGGTTTCCTACCAAGGTTTTTTGAACAAAAAAAACTTTCCTTTGACTCAGTAAATTCTTGAAGAGTGTGGACAGTGATGAGCTGTTATGCAAAATGGGTGGTTATTTAAATGCTGAGTAATCTAAAGAATGGGTATGAATGGGTTTACATTCAGGTATTCTTCCTCTAAAATTTAGAATACACTGAACGAATCTTAAGTATAAGAGTTCAAGAAAGTCAAGCTCCTAATTTAGATTTAAGAATTTACTTAATCCAGCTTCAAAAGATGCAGTGGAAACAATTTTAACTCCTTCAGACCATCAACATTCTGAATTGTATCCAGAGGCACAGTTGCAAGGTCCAGACTGAGCTGCGCTCTATACCTTTTTGAGAGGTGCCTATATTCACATGGTGTCAGAACAGTGGAGCTCCCCAGGAGAGCGCAAGTCTTCTGGAATAATATGATCTTTTGATAACTTTATAATAAAACAAACATTACATCATTTTAGACTATTTAGCTTTCCTAACTATGTAAGATCTTGTTTGTTGCCTCACAAAAATCCCAAGTGAGGAAGATTGCTGTCGTTTTGTCTAAAGAGGAATTTGCTTTACTGTGAGGTTGAGTGCTGTCTCCACAGGCAGTTGGGTCTAGCTCTTAATCTTAGTTCCGTGATCTTCCCATGAAATGAGTCATGGAAGTTCTGTGTTTTTAAATCAGATCTGATATGAGAGATATTCTGTGTTTTTAAATCCGATCTGATATGTGTTTTTAAATCAGATCTGATATCACGAAATACCATGTTTTGTAAGTGATGATTTTTACTTCTATTGAGAAAAACTAGGATCAGTGTGCTTAAGAGTCTGTGCTGGAGCTGATGAATGAGCACTACTTAGCCTATTACATATTTTCTAAAGGGGAAAAGCACCTTGTTAGGAGTGAGAGAATAATCACCGACTATCCACTGTTAAGAGTTATAAATTTCTGCTGTGGAGTCTAGCAAAAGTTGCACTTTTTTCTACGTAATTTGTTATAAGTATCTATTGGTATTTATAGAAGAGAGCTAGAGAAGAATGATGGATAACAGCTCATTACACTTAATGAAACGGTGTATCAGATAATCCTCACAGCTTACTGTCTGGGTAAAGCCTTGATCTTCAGATGCAAGAACTGAATTCAGGAATGTGAACACCTAATGGAAAATTCATTTGGACCACGCAGCAGGAACCTCGATTGTCATCACCTTGGTTACCACTAGTATTTTAGATTGTCTTCTATAAGTTACCAGTGTACGGAACTGGAGTGAATTTTCAGACTTTCTATCATGCCGACAGAAATAGGATCAGTTTCACTAAGAACTCCTCTGTGGCCTTACTTTAATGGTATATGTTGTAAGTTCTTTGCTTTCCAAATTTTTCTTCTCTTTCGCTTATGAAAAATGGTAATTGATAAAAGTAGAACCAGCGTGGAGAAGAAGCAACAACCAAAGAATATCAATGGTTTCTTTTGCACAAGAAATAAGCAGA